TGTCGACTCATTCTACATTCTACAAGTATGAGTTTACATGCATACCATATAGCACTTCCAAATGAAATTACGTCTCTACAAGGACATGAGAAACAAGATGCTAAAATGAATCTAATTGTAGTTCTAGTACTGACGTAGCAGCGTACATTAGAACGCAATGGAGAAGAATTGTAAACTCAGTTAACAAAATGACAACCAAAAAGTAAAGAGGCAACATATTAATAAAATTTTTGAATGTCTGGAGTGCGGAAGACAGATAACATCACGTACCGGGCTTTTCAGTCACAGAAAAGCTCAGAATGAAAACGCCTTGCGTAACCATCTTTTGATGCTTGTCAAATACTCGTCAGCGAGTCATGACAGTAAGTAAGTAGTCTTGACATTTTGTGAGGATTTTTGGGAATATGGTAGAAATGTAGCAGAATTCCACCGAAACCAGTAAAATTTTGAAAGTGAAAATACCTATTTACATTAATAGAATTGAGTTATACAGCGTTTAATAGTTATATACCGTATGCGAAAGTTAAATAATGCACTTTTTACCTTGTTTATAAGTATACTATAGTAGAGTATATTATATTTTTAGAGAAAGCTCATAACGGGGCAAATAAAATAAAGCAATAATAGACAGGGTATCCCATTTAAAAAAAAACATAAGTTTGGGTCATATTTCAAGAATGACAGCTCCCAGCGGAAAACTAGTTGCGCCACTGGATTCTACGTGAAAAACACTATAGGACTCAGTTGACCTCTTCGATAAGTATAAGATAACCGAGATACGAAGAGGTTCGAAAAAAGCAACATTTTCAAATTCGCGCTGTATTTCAGGAACCAAAGGGCTATGTGCAGCATCGTTTCATAAAAAAGTAGCGCAGTAATGTGAAAATCTCATCTTTGTCCTTATACGCATAAGGGAGAAAACTTAACACACGAAAATGGGACACCCTGTACAGACCTTGTAAAAAACACTTTTAAGTATACACAACATAAAGAAAGATATAATATACACTCTTTTGTTGTGTCTTCATTCAAGCACGGACAGAGGTGCGCTATAATTGTGAGCACGTAATTTTAGTTTTATTTCAAAAATGATAGCTCATACAATATGCGATGTACTTAAACAGGATTGGAGTGACGGAACGACTGACAATGCATTACGGACGCATGTAAAGTCACCTTTAATCGTAAAAAACAATTGCCTCAATAATAACATTAGTCATAAAGATTATCATTTTCGTTTTAAAATTGGGTAAAAATCGATATGCAGAATCAAAACCAATTTGTATCCAATTTTTGTGAAGTTGATGTTGATTTTAACGTAGGCAAAATCAGTTTTTGCCTACTATACATACTACTACAATGCCTAATAGGGTGTTCCCTCCGTGGGTCTAAAAGTTTAAGGATGTGATTTCTCATATGTTTTTAAGATAAGAGGTTTTTAAAAAAAATTCATAATTTCTTTCTTAAATTAAGTGATACCACTATTTTGCTTCGAAAAAACATTTTTTCTTGGTTGTCAATACGTTTTTAACAAAATTGATCTCTTGAATTTTTCTTGTACCGGGTGTCCCACTAAGAATAGCTCTCGGCAGTATTTCGGAAAGTATTAGCCGTAGGGCTTACAGAAAAAAAATATTTATAACTATAGAGGCTATGAGAAATTGCTGGAAATTATTTCCAAGTTTATAAAACGGCCGCTAGGTGGCGAAATTGCTATGGAAAATAAGAATAGATTTTTTACAGAATTTTGCCTACATAATGGGTACTATAAATAATAGCATCATAAAATCTTCAGTAAATTTTAGATTTTTTTTTTGTTAGAACCATTTTCCCCTATATGCTAAAATAACGTGGTGGGGGAAGGTTAGATCTATCTTTATTTAAATGTTAATAACTCCGGACTGGATGATCAGAATCCAACAAACGAGGGCTCGTTTAAAAGAGCGATTCTTACTCTATATTATACCATAAAGATAATAATAATAAGGCCTTGAACGTATACGCTAGGGGACGCTTTCTTACAATTTAACAAACAGCGCGTTTTTTCAAAAAAATTAAATACGATAGTATGTGTTATTTTAGCTGATAGTAAAGAGTAGTAAAAGCTTAAAAAGTCAGCGAAAACCGCATCTTGATATCTTCTTTCAAACCGAAGATATTAGCAAAATTATAATAAATGCCAAAAATAAGCCCTTAATTACCTTATTTTTACAATACAGTATCAGTAGCCCTTTTGATTAGGTCCATTCTAACAAAAAAATAAGATAGAAACAGTTAGTTTATTTTAAAATCGACGAAATACCAGAATACCATAATACCCTATGTATTAATATCTAATAATTAAGATATTAATAATAGTGAACAAGAAACGATGATTCAGTGAAGTCATGGTAGGCTTTGGAAAAAAGTGTTGCTTTTCGCATAATATATATATATATATATATATATATATATATATATATATATATATATATATATATATATATTTCGCATAATATGGATACATACTTTTGCGTAATAGTATAAACGTCAAATTGTTATTAAATCAACATTTTGATAGTCTTAGCAGCGTTTTTTTTTGTTTTAAATGCTTTTTCAAAATGCCTTTATTATTTGAAGTAGTTGAAGTTGTTGGCATTTTGAAAAAAGCAATCAAAAGATAAAAACACTGCTAAGACTATCAAAATGTTGATCTAATAACAATTTGACGTTTATACTATTACGTCAAAAGCAACTTTTTTCCAAAGCCTACCATGACTTCACTGAATCATCGTTTCTTGTTCACTGATATTAATATCGTAATTATTAGATATTAATACATCTGGTATTATGATATTCTGGTATATCGTCGATTTTAAAATAAACTAACTGTTTCTATCTTATTTTTAGGTTAGAATGGGCATAATCAAGAGAGCTACTGATACCGTATTGTAAAAATAAGGTAATTAATGGCTTATTTTTTGGTATTTATTATAATTTTGCTAATATCTTCGGTTTGAAAGAAGATATCAAGATGCGCTTTCCGCTAACTTTTTAAGCTTTTACTACTCTTTACTATCAGCTAAAATTGCATATACTATTACATTTAATTTTTTTGAAAAAACGCGCAATGTGTGTTAAATTGTAAGACAACGCCCCCTAGCGTCTACGTTCAAAAGCTTATTATTATTGTTTATATGGTACAATATAGAGTAAGAAACGCTCTTTTAAACGCGCCTTCGCTTGTTGGAATCCGATCATCCAGTCCAGAGTTATTAATATTCAACTAAAAACAGATCTAACCTTCCCCCACCACTTTATTTTGGTAGATAGGGGAAAATGGCTCTAACAGAAAATATTCAAAATTTACTGAAGATTATGAAGCTGTTACTTATAGTACACCTTATCTAGGCAAAATTGTGTAAAAACTCCATTTTCTTATTTTTTTGTTGTAGTTGAGCCCTCTAGCGGTCGTTCTACAAACATGAAAATAATTTCCAGCAATTTCTCATAGCCTCTTTAGTTATAAATATTTTTTTCCGCAGCCGCTACGGCTAATACTTTCCGAGATACAGCCGAGAGCTATTCTTAGTGGGACACCCTGTACATCGAATGGTTTTCGAGAAAAGAAAAATAAAAAAACAAGCATACATGAATATCAAGGGGAGCTTCTTTCAGTTGATTTTTTTTGAAAACCGTTCGATGTACAAGAAAACCTCAAGAGATTAATCTTATTTAAAAAAGACGGACAATCAAGAATGAAAAATATTTTCTCGAAAAAAAGCAGTGGCGTACCATTTATTTTAATCAAATAATCCCGAGGTGTGTGCGTACGGACGCCACTGACTCAAATAGAAAAACAACAGATAATGGAAAAAATCCGTTTTTTACCTGTACACCACATAACAAAATTGAAGAAAATGTCTAAAGTAGTTTCCGACATATTGCAAAAAATTCGATTTTGTTTAAATCTTTAAGTCTATTACGCTGTACTGTTCGGGTCGCTCTCAGGGGTCGGGTAAAACGGGTGTGTTGCCGAAGGAAATATATATTATATTTGAGAAATCTGCCTAAGGGTTAGCCCGATCCTGTCGTGTTAAGTCACGCCTAAAATTCCAAACATAGTTCTTTGATTAAGGTTTGCAGAGCTTCAGCATTTGTCATAAAATAGCGAGCAATTTGTTACAAAACCATATAAATTATATATCACTGTAATCACAAAACTTCAATCTGTTTCCGTATTGTGACGGAATTTTAAATTATGTCTTTATTTTAGTCCAAACATAAGGAATATTTTGTTGATGTTTGACCGTCAAAATCTTAAAAATAAAGAAGTTGTCTAAAAGAGTCCAACAAACGGATATAGTATAATCCTTTATCTTTAATTTCCTTCTTTATTTGTGTAAAAATACCTAGCCAGTTTTACATAAAACGTTAAATGCCGATCGCTTATTTTGCTACTTTTTCGGACTTGTGAAATGTACTCTTAACACCCTGTAGATCAGAAAGGATTTAATCTTTTTTCTTAGAACCTAACTAACCATACGAGGATTTACACACAAAAACTTTTAGGATGCTTAGGAACTAGTAACTAAGGCTACTTAGGAACTACTTTTAGGCTACTTAGGAAGCACCCTATATATAGGCTGGTCCGAATTGTATTCGGGAAACTTTGACAGCATATTCTGCAGATAAAAATAAGAAAAAAAGTTCTTATTAATTTATGTCCTAAAATGCTTCGTTTCGGACATACAGGGTGTAGAAGTTTCATTATTTATTTCGATTTTTTCGATTATTTTTGTGGTCAAATAATAGTGTAATAATAGTGGTATTTACTGCAAAATTTTTACACTAAATACTACACTTAATGAAATGACTCTGTCTTGCCGTCTTGGTACTAGTAAGTACTGTTATTAAGTCACTACATATATTAGACGTACCAATATATTCAATATTTCAACTTAACAATACATTTTATTTATTAAAATTGCTGCACACATTGGTGTGCAAATAAACACAGATAAGAAAACAGAGAAGAAAACCTATACTAATTACTAGTGAGAATATTTTATTCTAAATTAAAGTCCTTATAACATTTTTTTAAATGAAGATTCATTTAACCAAGTACGTACTAAAAATATAAAATAAATAATACAATGATATGTTCATCATATATAATCATTGGTTCTTACATGACCTGTATCAATTAGTAGTCCCCTGTGATCATAGGTGTACAAAACTTGGGGAATCATTGGCTTATTACACCTTTGATCTCTTTTCTTGTTTTTAAAATTTTGTAAGCTCAATCTTCTCCAAGTTGTTTTTTCTTCTTTGTTATTTTTTGTTTTCTCTGTTTTTATACCATACAAACTCTGAGATTTTTGTATACCAGGCTGATGTTCTTCTATCAAGAAAATATTTCTTTTTCGCTCTTTTTGCTTGAAAAACAATTGGATAGTTGAAGAAGCAAATATGGCATTGCTTCGGATGTTTATGTCGTATTGATTCTTGAGCCACTCGGTCATTTTGTTAATTTTTGAAAATGTTTGTTGTGAAATGAAAGTTCAATAAACAAGATCAAGATTCAGGAGAGTGTAAAAATAAATGCGGGAATAATTGAATTAGTTGTTATGGCTTCGACTGTTACACGATTTTCTTGGCAGATTCTATTTTTAAAGACGTCAAAGGGTTTTACACGTTTTTTTTACACCGGGAGCGAAATTTTTAAAAATAATTGTATCAAAGTATTGAAATACACAGCGAACCAAAAATATACTAGGCGAGAAGTTAAGTTCGGCCTACCGTGGCGGATTTAACGAGAACACAATAAACACCCCATGTCAAATTGCTATATTTTTTCTAAACTAAGTAACTTAGACTATGTGGATCTACCTGGGATGGATGTTCAGGGTGGGCTAAATTGGACACTTTTAAAGGGAAGCACCCTTTTCTATAGGAGATAGACGAAAACTAATATCGGTGTCTGGAGCTCAATTTCTATCAAAAACATGATAGTAAAAACCGCACATCGATATCTGTTACCGTTTCGGAGTTTTTCAAAAATATGCATTTTTAACAAATCGCTGTAATTTTTTTGCTATGGAAAATTTTGTATTTTAATGAAAATATTTCCAAAGCATCTTTTACGTAGAATATAATGGTTTAAGTAATTATAAATTAATAATTTAAGAGATATCAACAAAAAAATGATTTTTTCTTTTGGAAATCCTGTGCATTTTTAATTCACTAAAAAGAACGTAAATTTACCTTTTCAAAAATATAGCACACTTAATATTTTGTCCCCTTCGAAATACAGAATTTTTAAAAATTCGCCACTTTTAACTAGTAGGCTTTGGGGGGGGGATCCCTTATAGATGATCTGCCCCTAATGGAAACATATTTATATAGGCACCGCTTCACAATGCTGAAATTATCAACATTTTTTTGCAGCCAATTTCGAGAATAATTGAATAGCTAACCAAGGTCCCAGCAGTTGGCCGTCGAGACTGCCGGACTAAGCGCCTATGGATTTTTATTTTTATCTTTGAGTAAAACTAAAGTATCTTATTTTTAAATTGCCTGTATATTCTAGATAAGAATTAGAAGTACTTAGCGGCTATGAGGGGATATCTTTCACCCCCACTGAGGTAATGAATTCCGCGAGAAATGTTCAGAAATGGTCCCGTTATAAACCACACTACCGGCTCTGCGAAATAGGACAAGGAGTTTTTCAAAGAAAAGCTTATCAGGAAGATTCTTATTTGGATATCTTTCAGCATAAGCCCTTGAGGCCAAGAAGCAATTTTTCTCACAAAATAATATTACTAGTAACATACCTATCTATTCGTTCCGCCAGCAGATACAGGTTTATTTTTCTTGATAAAGTAATGAATACTTACTTATTAAACTATTGTAGGTAAATTTAAGTAAACTGTTATAAATTATAAACAATAATGTCCATAAACTAATGTCGACTTTGAAAATAGTTACTAACTGTCACTAGAAAATTGCCATGGTGACACCAGCCATCTTGATTGCAATTTTATTTAAAAATCGCTTTTTATTCAAAATCTGATCTAAATAGGTATAGGAAACCTTAATATAGTTTGAAAGAGCATTTGAATCTGCTATTTATTTAAAAAAATACAAGGTGTTGCATTTGAAATAACGAAGTTTTTATATAAAATATATCCTTAAAATTGACTAGCAACTTTTGATAGCCCGGTATAAATTTAAGGAACCAATACCATTTTTCGGTAAAGTTTATTTCTCTACCTTTAAACTCAGTATAAGAACTAATTCTGAAAAGTAATGTACAGGGTGTTAATAGTCTATTCGATTGTAGCATGCAAATTTAAATATCTTTAAATATCTCAAAAACTAAAGATTTTACACATATTTAACCCTTATAATAAATGCCTTTTTTGGGTCCAAGAATCCAAAAATGAAATAATATACCGGGTGTTCCATAAGAAAAAATATAACTTTGGTATGGATCTTAGTTCTGAAACACCCTGTACATTTCGAGAATAATTGAATAGCTAACCAAGGTCCCAGCAGTTGGCCGTCGAGACTGCCGGACTAAGCGCCTATGGATTTTTATTTTTATCTTTGAGTAAAACTAAAGTATCTTATTTTTAAATTGCCTGTATATTCTAGATAAGAATTAGAAGTACTTAGCGGCTATGAGGGGATATCTTTCACCCCCACTGAGGTAATGAATTCCGCGAGAAATGTTCAGAAATGGTCCCGTCTGTGCATAAGAGAAGGCGGTCAACATTTCGACCACCTACAGGAGCAAAATGTTGCCTTGGTTTGCTATTTATTATTATTGTTCTTAATTATAGTTTAATATAAAATAATTAAATATAGTTTAAATTGTTATAAAATTCTGCATCTTTCATTGTAAATATTATTTTCGTTTTAATTGCAGTAAAGTGCAAAAGTAAAAGTGTTTTGGTGTCTTGGGATGATTTAGTGTTTTATTTTGCTGTTGTAACACCAAAGGTTCCAACCTCCAACTATACTCTTCCTATTCCAATTGACATCGGAATAGTTTTTCCTACTAGTTCAACAAATCTTAAAAGTTAAAAATGAAAAATTCGAACACGAATACTAATGATATTGATAACGAATTCATATTCGTTAATCCATTGTTAATCTAAGGTTAATCCTAACTCAGACACCAAAAAGATCAAAGTTAAATTACGCTAATACTCCGGTTTCTTCAACATCGTCAGAAACTCTGTGGTCGATTAAGGAAAATATGTTTCTTTCCATAAGAAAAAAAGCAAAAGCCAATCAAGCTTAACCAGTTGAAAAATAAATAACATCTATGGTTATTACCCAAACTTTCAAAAAAAGAAATGCAATATTTTCAACAAGAAAATATTAGAGCAAATATTTGAAAATGCTGCGAAATATACAGAGACAAAAATAGGCGAAAATCTGAAAAACGAGCAAGGATTTGTAAAATGTAAAAGCGGTGAAATTTGAAAATCACCGTAGCTTCGTGATTGGTCATACTAGCCATGATGAAAATGGACTCAAGTGTGGGGTATCAGAATTATATATTATCATTGATTTTCAATATTCTCATTAAGGACAACCAATTAGGGTCACCCTGTACATAATATTAAATTATTAGATATTGATGAAATATATAAATATATGTAAATTAATTGAACAGAAAAATAAATGAAGAAAAACAGTTTATTAAAGTGTAATTCAAATTTTAAAACCAACTTAATATTTTTTCGAGTAGCAAGCCGTGACGGAAAACAAATATTTGACATTGCAGCCATATTGCACTTAAGTTGAAACATCGTTAATAGGTATTTCGCATTTGTTAATAGGTATATTAAATTAAAAAGGAAGCTTTTTCTGTAAAGACTTTTTAGAACCTATAACAGACCCTAACGAAACATGGAGGACTTTCAAAAAGGATATAACGAGAATATTAGTTCTAATAAAACAAGTCTTGTGGAGTTTGAAATTAGTTTTAGGAAACTAAAGAATGAGTTGTTTTTGAAACGGGTAAGTTTACTTTCTGAAAAATATATAATATACAGGGTGGCGCACCTCATTCGCCTCGGTTGATTACACGAAAACGGAAAGATGTAGAAACAAAATATTTTATAGGTATATGTGGGAAGGTAATGTACACAATTTAAAATTATTTCTAAATGTACAGGTTGTTTCAGAACTAAGATCTATACCAAAGTTATATTTTTTCTTATGGAACACCCGGTATTTTATTTCATTTTTGGATTCTTAGGCCCAAAAAAGGTATTTATTATAAGGGTTAAATATGTTTAAAATCTTTGGTGTTTGAGATATTTAAAGATATTTAAATTTGCATGCTGTTAAAATAGATTATTAACACCCTGTACATTACTTTTCAGAATTAATTCTTGTGCTGAATTTAAAGGTAGAGAAATAAACTTTACAGAAAAATGTTATTCCTTGCTTAAATGTATACAGGGGTATCAAAAATTGCTGGTCTATTTTAAATATTTATTTTACATAAAAACTTTGTTATTTCAAATGCAACACTATGTATTTTTTTAAATAGGTCGAAGTAGATTTAAATGCTCTTTCAAACTATATTAGGGTTTCCTATACCTATCTGGCTCAGATTTTGAATAAAAAGCGATTTTTCAATAAAATTGTAATCAAGACGGCTAGTTTTGTCATGGCAAGTTTCTAGTGACAGTTAGTAGCTATTTTCGAAATCGAAATTAGTTTATGAACTTATTTAAATTTATACCAGTTTACTTTTATTTAATTTACCTACAATAGTTTAATAAATAATATTTATTAAATATGTGTTTATTATTCTATCAAGAAAAACGAAAAAGTAGTTCTTTGAATTATTTTACGATGACTTGTAGATATGTGGATTTTTTATAAAAGAGCCAATTACGGCAAATTCATTTTGTTCACTTCCAACGACAGGTTTCTGCCTAATATGTTTTTTATAAACCACACTACCGGCTCTGCGAAATAGGACAAGGAGTTTTTCAAAGAAAAGCTTATCAGGAAGATTCTTATTTGGATATCTTTCAGCATAAGCCCTTGAGGCCAAGAAGCAATTTTTCTCACAAAATAATATCACTAGTAACATACCTATCTATTCGTTCCGCCAGCAGATACAGGTTTATTTTTCTTGATAAAGTAATGAATACTTACTTATTAAACTATTGTAGGTAAATTTAAGTAAACTGTTATAAATTATAAACAATAATGTCCATAAACTAATGTCGACTTTGAAAATAGTTACTAACTGTCACTAGAAAATTGCCATGGTGACACCAGCCATCTTGATTGCAATTTTATTTAAAAATCGCTTTTTATTCAAAATCTGATCTAAATAGGTATAGGAAACCTTAATATAGTTTGAAAGAGCATTTGAATCTGCTATTTATTTAAAAAAAATACAAGGTGTTGCATTTGAAATAACGAAGTTTTTATATAAAATATATCCTTAAAATTGACTAGCAACTTTTGATAGCCCGGTATAAATTTAAGGAACCAATACCATTTTTCGGTAAAGTTTATTTCTCTACCTTTAAACTCAGTATAAGAACTAATTCTGAAAAGTAATGTACAGGGTGTTAATAGTCTATTCGATTGTAGCATGCAAATTTAAATATCTTTAAATATCTCAAAAACTAAAGATTTTACACATATTTAACCCTTATAATAAATGCCTTTTTTGGGTCCAAGAATCCAAAAATGAAATAATATACCGGGTGTTCCATAAGAAAAAATATAACTTTGGTATGGATCTTAGTTCTGAAACACCCTGTACATTTCAAAATAATTTTAAATTGTGCACATTGCCTCCCCACATATACCCATAAAATATTTTGTTTCTCCATCTTTCCGTTTTCGAATAATCAACCGAGGCGATTGAGGTGCGCCACCCTGTATAGTAGGTTTCAGTAGAAGGAGATGGCCGATTCGCCATCAGGTGGTGGATCGCCACCGCTGTGAACCGCTTTTGAACTGCTTTGAACCATTTCTTAGCTTAAAACAACAGACCTGTTCACTTTTGCTCAAACCTGTTTATTTCTATTCTAAAGCACAGCGGTTCAAACTTATTTATTAGCGTATTTTAACTGTTCTTACTGGTTCTTACCTGATTTACGTTACATTTCGCCACCTCCACCTCCAACTGTTGGCGCAGAATCGACCATCTCCCTCTACTCATTTCAACCATGATACAAAGAAAAATTTAGATGTTTTCTTTGTATCATGGGTTTCAACTTTCAACAGAATTCTCAATTCGCAACTGCTGATTGAGATGTCTGCACTTAAATCCCTTTTGTTTAACAATCATTAGCTGCTCTGATACCATAAATTAATGAGTTAATTAAAAGGTTGTTCTGCTTTGCTGTAGGACTTATACTTAAAAAAACACAATTTTCTCATTAAATGTATGTTTTGGGCATAGGAAGTGCTTAAAAAAACAAAAATATTAAAAAAAAACTTTCTAGGACTATGATACGACAAAATACAAGGTGGTCCACTTAAAGTAGTGGAGAAAAATTCAACATTTACTTTTGACCCACCTTGTATATATCAAACAATATTGCAACTATTTGTAGGCTGAATTTTAAGGAACAAATTATTATAGACGAATTTAGAATTTTGAGAGGCCTTTAAATAAACAGTAAATTTAGTTTAAAATCGGTTATATTTTAAAAACCACTCTGTATATTATAAGAGATTATGGCATATTTGGAATGAAAATTTAATAGTAAATCCACTGAGCTAAAAAAAAAATATATATATATATATATATATATATATATATATATATATATATATATATATATATATATATATATATATATATATATATATATATATATATATATATATATATATATATATAGTATATATAAAAAAAAGAAAGAAATAGTGAGGGAAATGTATAAAAAAGAAGAAAAAAGATTAAACGGCTCAGCCCTCAACAACTCGTAACCGTATACACCAGTGTACACCAGTGCAGACACGCACACTCACACACTCACACAACCACACCTACACCAGTGCACATCGATGTAACTGCCTTCAGGATTCATCAGTACGGTAAGGAATCAGGAAGCGAAGAAACCGATCCCAAAACACAAAAAACCAAGAAGCAAACGATGCAACGAGGCACCGTGTGCAACCCAGGAGATGGAAAATCTTTTATTTTCGTTTTTTCGTCATTTTTTTTTCATCTCCTGGGTTGCACGCGGTGTCTCGTTGCATCGTTTGCTTCCTGGTTTTTTGTGTTTTGGGATCGGTTTCTTCGCTTCCTGATTCCTTACCGTACTGATGAAGCCTGAAGGCAGTTACATCAGTGTGCACTAGTGTAGGTGTGGTTGTGTGAGTGTGTGAGTGTGCGTGTCTGCACTGGTGTACACTGGTGTATACGGTTACGACCCTGTACGTTTGATGGACCAGCGTAGCTCATAGGGGTAAAGCTAGTCCGACGTTACAGGGAGGCCAACGTTACTGTAAACAAAAGTTTGGTAGCCTTTTTCGTTTCTGAGCTACAGGGTCTTTTGAAAATTTTGCACTTTGGCACACCCCCTGTATCTTCGTTATTGTCAAAGGTATCGAGAAGGTGAAAACTGATTCCTGTAGAACTTTTTACGTAGAATACAGTGGTGTAGTCTGTTTTTCTACGAAAATAATATTTTTGAAAATATGAACTAAAGTTATGTTTTTTCAAATGAAATACCCTGTGTATTTATAAATCATATGATCGGTCGTGCTGTGAGCTTCTTAAAAATATATAACACTCTATATTTATTTTCACTTTTTACGGCATTATTTAAAACTTTTCATTAATAGATCATTTTTATTAGTAGGCCATGATTAATAATAAAAAAAACTAAAGAATTATTAAAAGTATACTGCTGTTTTATCTGTCTCTTGTTTTATTTTGAGAGCCACTGATAAAAAAAATAAAAAAATATATCAACGAAACAACTCTCTACCGCTATTTGTAAATTTTGGAAGTTATCGTACCAGAACTTTTAGATATTTCCTCTAGATAATTTACGTGAAATATACTTTCAGCAAGATGGGGCTCCCCACACAACTTAACTTACAATGAAAATATTAGAATTTCGTTAAATGACTATTTCCCAACTCAACGAATTTGAGACCAATGGATTATGGTATGATAGCTTCCCTGATCCCCGTATTTGTCCGTTATCGATTTCTGTATTTAGGGATTTTTGAAATATGAAATATATACCGTGGCAACTACTACTAAGTATGTCGAAGACCTGGAAAATGCTATCAGGTAAGCTTTTAGATATTTGCATACCCATTACGTTATAAAAAAAGAAGAAGAACATAGTCAAGAAACAGTTGTAACAGTTTGAAAGTATGTAAAATATTTCAGTCCCAAATAAAATTTTAATATGTGTAAGATAAATACCATTTTAACTCTTGTTGTTATCTATCACGGCCTACTAATAAGAAAATAATATCTTTTAAATATTGCAGTAAATAGTGGAAATAAATATAGAGTGTTCTATATTTTTAAGAAGCTTATAGCAAGACGGATGATATTATTTATAAATATACAGGGTGTTCCATTTGAAAAAACATAACTTTAGTTCATATTTTTAAAAATATTTTTTTCGTAGAAAATATACTACGCTACTGTATTCTCCGTAAATTTTTATACAGGAATCAGTTTTCACCTTCTAGATACATTTCACAATAACGGAGATACGGGAGTGTCCCAAATTGCAAAATTTTCAAAAAGACCTTGTAGCTCAGAAACGAAGAAGGCTACGAGAATTTTGTTTACAGCATCTTCCGTTTGACAAAAGGGAAACAGGTTGGTGCAAACCACACTCTTCTACCTTCACCAATAACGGAGATACCCACAAAACATCCCCCTTTAGAACTTCGTCTGTCATGTTAAGAAATGAAAGTAAATAATAAAGCGCCTCTCGTGTTTGTTCGCACTCAAAAAAATTCAATTAATGCCTGTATATATTTTTAATATATTTTTTAAA